GAGCTCCGCAGGTGGTCAGCGTAAAATGCAAGACAGCATATGTTTGCCCCTGGTGAATCATAGAGGAATTAGCATAACTAACGCGGCACAGGAACATTAGCATATTCGTGTCGATAGGCGTATATAGGGATCTTGCATGTCAGCCGCTCGTCGTGCACTTCTGCCGGCGCCTCCGAACCATCCTACCAGGAAACATCTTTTTCCTGCCTTCACCCCGGCCATTTTGCATCTAATTTCCTGCTTTAACTATCCGGCGTTCCCTCGTCAATATCGGCATCTTTTTTTTCATCGTCGTGTTTTCGCGCCTCGTTCTCTCCCGTGTCTCGTGTTGTTGTTGTCGTCGTTGTCCCACACACGTCGAGATTCCACTCGAACGAGCGAATTTTAAGCTCTACTTTCTCCTTTCTCCTCCGCGCAGTTTGGATCGCACTGACAAACAAGCGACAAACAGTGAGTTACAACGATCGGCAGTCGGCGCCGAAACGAGAAATTTCACGCCGCGTGACAATATTTTAGCGAAGTAGTAAATCGTTGGCGGGGGTGCCGGTGGCGGCGAGTGCAAGATTTAATTACCAAATTCTGAATGCAAGCACGCGTTGGACCAGGCAGCGCGCGCCGTGTTCGTGCAGCGGATGACCGTGGCTGCCGATCCCCGGAGGGCATAGCAACTCGAACGAGCAATCGGGCTTCCATCGTTCTCTGCTATCTCGTACGCTATCTCGATTTCGCGAAACAGGGTGAAGCACAGGACGAACGAAACGGCTGCGAACGAAACGCGAGAGGAATGGACACTGCGGACAGCAGGGCAGGCTATGGCCGAGAGAAAACGCCGATCGCAACCCCGCGCGGCGCGCACACCGGTCGAACGAGCGTGCATTTCAGTGCCGCTCGACGCCAGGCTTGCCTCTGTCGACAGACAGGACACGGTGCATGCGTAATTAATGAAACCAATCAAGCAGCGTCCGTGCGTCCGTGGAAATTCGTTAAATTTAATTGGACGCAACTAATCGTCGCGCGGCGAGACGCCGATCGTCGAAAGAAAGGGTAGTGAACCGTTGTGCTGAAACGCGCAGCGACGAGGGAGAAAATGCGCGCGTGTCCCACGGGAAAGCGGCTCGGACGGACGATGCGATCGAAGTCCAAAGGGATTTGCTGCTGCAGTGCAACGAAGAAAGAGGGGAATCTTCCGTGGATTGGACGAGGACGCGTACGTACGCAGAGTTACGGGCGCGTTTATCGCGCCGTTGAAACGAGCATCGAAATGGAAGAAATCCTTTAACGAGCGGTCAAGGAAATTCAGTGTACCGTTGCGGTGCACGGTGAACGGGGTGAGAAGAGGTCAAGCCGCGCGGCTGGAATTCGAGGATCGTTAAACGCGACTGTGGCGAAGTGACTAGGGAACGAGTCTTATCGAAGAAGGCAGGAATGGCGAGAGAGAGAGAGAGAGAGAGAGAGAGAGAGAAAAACCCACCGCGATAATTCTCGTATTATATATTTACGCGTGTATCGTTTTGTCTCTTTTCGTCGTCGTTTCTCCTCGACCGATGGCCATTTCGTCGAATAAAATCTTGTTCACCGCGTGCGTAATGATGCCCGCCGACGTAAGCTGATTAATTAGCCGTGAATTTACGAGTGTAAACGTTGATCCCATTAAATTAAATTGGCATCGCGGCGACGAAATATCCTAATTCAAGCGTGGAATATCCGCGCGCACGGATGATCGTAAATTTTTGAATTAACGCCGGGTTGAGGACCGCGCGTTTCGTCGATCGAGAATCGCACGATCCACGCCCGTCTATCGACGTTAATCTGCCTCTCGAATAACAACGTTTCACGGTTCGGTCGCGATGCCTCCCAGGAACGACCTCTGTTCCGCGCAGAGCAGAGAGTCGTTCGAAATTCAGTCGACACTGAAATATCGCGTTCCCAACTAAATCTGGCCGAATCTAATTTTACGGGACCCACGTGCATTAGCGGATTAATGCACTCTATTCCTGCCGGACCAGGCGATGAGGTGTATTTGCATGGCATTATACTTGCACCTTTCCCTCCCCTACCGACCCCTTATCCAGGCCTCTTCAATCCCTATCTCTAATTATACGTATAACACCCGCCGCCGAATCCTCTTGCGCAGGTGATAATCATATTACCATCCTATCAACGTTATTGCCATTCCTGGTCGCATACCACGATCGCACTATTTGAAGTGCTTAGACTAGTGGCGATCGATCAACCTCTAAGAGGTTCGAATTTACCCTCGGCACAATCGGTCTGCTCTTTGAAGAGACGGCGAGGGTGAGAGAGAGAGGAGGGGGGGGGGGGGGGGGGGGATCAGACAATAGGCGAGCACCTCTCCCGCCATTGAATGTCCTATTAACTCGAACGATATTTATTTCAGTTTGTTCGCGTGTTCTTCGTTTTCTACCATCCGCCGCTCCCTTGCCGCCGTTTTCCATTTCGGCGATATTTGAACGCGGATTCCTTTGCCGCCGGCGGGCAAACAAAACGTAAATAAATAACGACAGCAAGGGGGGAGAGGGGCAACGGACTCTCGTTTCGCAAGTTTTGGCTGCAAGTTTTGCGAAACTGGTGCGCGAAGCTATCGCGGCCGAACCGGAAAGGAACGAACGAACGTTAGATAGTATACGAACGTCGTATAACTTCCGAGTAATCTCGCGTTGTCGGGACGGGATATAAATTCGTGGCCCGGGAAAAAGGAAGAACGGAAGTGTCTCTCCCTCTTTTCCCGTGTAGCACGGTTCGCCGTGGAAATTCCGTCGTTTGATCGCCAACAGTGTGCGGCTCGTGCAAGGAGGAAAGCAAATAATCGACCTGTACAACTCTTCGCTGGCCTGTTTGCGCCTACGCTTAGGCAACTGGCTCGTCGCGCGAGTATACACGATCCCATACACGCGATATGCAAATTCGCGGATAAACACGCCGTAAATCACACAACCTTACGGCCGTTTTTCTAACGAGATCTTTTTATAATTAAAGAATGGGTGCCCACGGTATCTTAATGGCTCGGTAATTTTATCGCGACGATCGTGCGAGGGTTTAGTATAACGATCGACGTTGCTCTGTGCACCGCCTCTGTCATTAGTTTGCTACAAGCGATGAGAAATATTTTCGTGACACTTGCACGCATTTGCCGCGCAGTTCCCATGATGGCAATACGATCGTGGTCGGTTTAAATTGTTATTGAAGTTGTGCACTATGCGGCGTACAGCGTTTGATGGCGTCGTATCCCTTTGAACGCGCGGCAATTCTCTCTTTAATTAGATACCCGCGCTACCTTAATAACTGGAAGGTCTATCGATCGGCGTCGACGTATCTTCGAATGACACGGTGTTGCAACAATGAATCGGGCGACAAATTAATCGGGCAAGTAACCAATGCACGGCTAATGCGGGCTGAGCGCCAAATGCTGTTTCTAACGTAATCGAATTTACAGCTCGTCTCGCATGCACCAGGACTACCGACGCTCACCTATACGCGTCAGCGTCCAATGGACGGCTATAGTAATCGAATAATTCATTTTCGCAATCTCGTATCGCGGGACAATAACGGCACCGGTTACGCCAACCGGACTCGGATTATTCAAGAATGATTTAATCTTTTAACGAACCAACGATCGTTCGCACCGGCCTGATATTTCGCTGGTAACGGCGCATCGAGTTCCGAGTTTGCATCGCGGCCACGTGTTGTAAGGGCATTGAAAACGCACAAATTGAAAATACCGCTGGAATATTCTCGGCCTCGATATACGCGTATCGTTCAACTGTTTAAATTGTTTAATCACAAGTACGCGAAACTTTTGTCCATTGTGTGCAATTCGACAATTAATGAAACAATACCGCGTGGCACGCGTTCGAAAACTTTCGTTTTATACACATACGCATAACGATGAGGTTGACTTCACGCAAGCTATCGACAGATTTTAAACTTTTTTCATTTTTAGGGATAAAGCAAGGTTTGTTCTGTCTCGTGGTTTAAGAATAGACGCATCGTTCTGAAAGGGTAACGCTGTTTAATTTACGAACGAAGAACAATGGCTGCACGTGTGCTCATTAAGCGATAGCGTTCAAACGCGCAGTTATTACCGCGCGCCAATATTAATCGTGGACATTTCGTTTTCTTTTTCTTTTTTTTTTTTTTTTTTCTTATATAACTAATCGCTCGCTTCGATGCACGTGCGATTACTTTGAAAAGATCCAAACCTATGATTCTAAATTATTATTCTGCACATGATGATATCCGATAATTGCGTTGCTTTTGAATTTCGCGCTACAAGTCTTGCTACACTCGCTGAGCGATGATTTGAAGACGATTTACACGAAATTAATTACAAAAATACTGTGTTGCGAATGAGATTTGAATACCGACCATTCAATTAATAAATACATGCCTAGTGTGATACGTGGTGTAATCGTGTTTTTGAGTATTTTCTCTCTTTCTTTTCTCGTTTTCTCCGTTAGTATGATGTCCGAAGCCTAGGTAGAAAATCCCATGCTTTTTCATTGGCCAGTTTGTACGGTCAAGGATGGACCTTGAAGGCTCTTTACTTCTTGGAAGGGGAATTGTTAAAACCAAATTCAGTACTATTGTTTTGTATCTTTAGAATGTTTTGACATAATATGCCCCAGATCTACGTCTGGATCTTCAGTTATAGACTAAATAAGTATTTTTTCGCCGAGCAAACTCCTATAGATCTGTAGATACTTCCAATCGAGCGATATATATATATATGTACAATGTTCAATCTCTAAAATTGAATCGATGATTTAAATTTTTTTGACTGTATATGTCAAAATATATTGTTAGCAGATTAAAATTAATGAAATTAACATATTGAAAATAAAATTTCGAAACACGTAACCTAATGTGTATATATCATAAAAACGATAGCGTGTATTTATATGAAGCGAATTAAGTCCGATTAAGGACTTATGAATAGATGTGAAAGAAGGATACTTGATCCAGAATCTAGAGAATCAGACACGTGGAAGAAGGCTGTTGAAGAGTACTTGAATTATCGAATGAACAAAATATTCACAGCCATCCAACGTTTTGGCTGAATGTGCTTGAATGCTTTTGGGAACGCCTTCATGGAGTGAGAAAAAAAATAAAGAAAGAAAAAAGACGCGTACAAGAGAAAACGGTCAACAAGACGCGTATAGGAATCAGTTAGAGTTAAGAGTCGTGTTAGTGAAGACTCAGAGATAAAGAGGGAATATTAACGAAAGTTGAAATAAAGAAGTTACACGAAAAGCTTTGGATAAAAAACGGTATGTAAATTAAATTATTACATCTTTTTATTACGCATAGTTAATGTGGTTTCTTTATAAATTGTTTTTGGCTGTATATAATGATAATAATAATGATAATAATATAATAAATGAAAAAAAAGTAAAAATTAAAGTGAAAGAATATATAAGTGGAAGAATATATAAATTATTATAGTTGTTTATTTAGCTATAAAATTTAAAAAACAAAAGAATTTAATACAATTTTCCAACATGGCGTCACTAGAATTCCTCTATAAACTACTCTACTAACTGCGATGGTGGTGTAATGGTGAGCATAGTTGCCTTCCAAGCAGTTGATCCGGGTTCGATTCCCGGCCATCGCAGGGGTTTATTTTTATTTTCAAAATTTATTGTATTTTTTTCTTTAAACAGTTTGTTTACCCAATTATTGTCTTTTTGCTTAAACAATAAAATTTCAACTGCGATGGTGGTGTAATGGTAAGCATAGTTGCCTTCCAAGCAGTTGATCCGGGTTCGATTCCCGGCCATCGCAGGGATTTATTATTTTTATTTTTTAAATAAAATTTTAATTTATATTACTGAAAGTAAGGTTTCTTAAATTTATAACCATTAGTTAGAAAACTGCGATGGTGGTGTAATGGTCAGCATAGTTGCCTTCCAAGCAGTTGATCCGGGTTCGATTCCCGGCCATCGCAGTGGGCTTATTTTTTGGTTCCAAAGAAAATTTATTTTATGAAATGAAATTACTATTTATACTGTTTGAAATTAATAATATCCAAACTGCGATGGTGGTGTAATGGTCAGCATAGTTGCCTTCCAAGCAGTTGATCCGGGTTCGATTCCCGGCCATCGCAGTGGATTTTTTTTTTTGTAATTTTGCACTATACAATTCTTCTTTTAGTTAGTAATGACAATTTTGTAATATTCAGAATTTTATTTATTTTACACACGAATACGAAAATTATGCATTTAATAGTTAATCTAATTTTTTATGTTTGAATAAAATGGCGTGTTACAGTATTTAATTTAAAGGAAAACAACATTAGTACTGATCGTTCTTGACAGTTTCTTTATAACTTTATTATTTATGTGTTTTGATATTGTATGTTTCTTTTATTAGAATTGATATCTTATGATACCAACAACCAATGAAATACAAGTGTGATTTGTAATTTGTAGATTTGGCAATAGTGACAAGTGGTAACAATGACAACAACGCTACCTGACTCAGGCACGCGGTAGTTGTGTCAGTTGATTCTACGTGGTGAGACGAGTTTACGATAAGTAATAGAACAATTATTTAGTTTATCAAACAAAGGCTGCATGAAAAAGTGAAATATTGCATATTTTGAGCACCAACGACTTTAATAAGGTAAAATTTAATGGAACATTATTTCTGAAAATTTTTAAATTATCACGAGCTTGTTTTTTAATATAATTTTAGAGTCATTGACCGAAGTGCTCCCTTATTTTATAAAGTTAAGGAGATCACAAACGTTAAACAATTGATTTCTTAACATCAGTTTCACAATATATAGAAATATATAGAAAAATTAATTTACAACGAGATAATTTTTAAAAATAAATTTAAAAGTGTATATATATGTATATGTAGTTTATGTATGTTATAATGTAGTTTCTCGTTTGTAAATTCTTTTAAGATAACATTTATTTTCATGAATAAAGTATAAACATTTACTGTACAAGAGAGTTTTAAGAGTGAGTAATTAAATACCTGTTATGTTAATTATTATTTATTATTCAAAATATAAAGTAGACCAGCGACAAACATTTTTTTATATATCTGACAAGGTTTATTGACATGGAAACCTTGAAATTCTAAATTTGGAATCAAAAAGTGATGTTCTATGTGTATGCTGGTTACCTAAAAATTTTCTTATTAGAATGACAGTTCTATTTCTTTCTGTTCTCGTAGATAATAATTTTATTAAATACAAAACAAATGTGATATGGTATATTATACATAAAAAATATAAAAATGGATGAATTACATCAACACATTCTTAGAAAGTTGCGGGAAGATATAATTCATGACATGGATGTGCATAATGGTATTATAAAACTATTAAAGTCTGAATACATATTAACAGAGCAGCAAATAGCACAAATTGAAAATGGTGCATCCAAGCAGCAACAAGCAGGAATTTTATTGGATATACTTCCAAGGTATATATGTGAAATTAAATTTTTGTTCCGTATTACCATTTTCTTTCCATTTCTTAGTTGTGGCCCATACGCATTTGATGCTTTTCGACAAGCTTTGAGCCACCATTATGAATGGTTGAGTGAATATATGAATAAACTTGAGGATTGTGGGAAATCATTTTGCTACACAAATCACACAGATACACCCACTCTTCCTCCAATTTCGCCATTAATTGTTGTGAGAGAGAAAAAGGTACATATATATATATTAGTGAAGCTTTACACATAATACTTGCCGATAATTGTAATATTTTTTTATTATATATGCATACTTATGGAAATCAATCGTGTAAGTTTGGAAGAAAAATTATTACATATACAAAATTTGTCATATTGTTAATACTACTGTCATTATAATCATGCACAATTCTTACATAAAATCAGACTAATGGATCTTAATTTTAGATGAAACAGTTACAACATTATTTGGAACGATTACAACCAAATGAATATATTGTACTACATGGTATAAAAGGTTTTGGTAAATCATCTTTGACAGCTAGTGCATTAAAGGATTATAAATGTATAAAAAGTATATTTTATGTAAGTTGTGTTATATTAGAAAATTTTGAATGCAATTTTCATTTGTAATATAAATACGTTCTTATATTTCTTTCAGAATGAAGTATATTGGATCAAATTTGGATATGAACGTTCGGTCGAAGAAGATATATTAATTCAACTTAACAAACTTTATCATCTTGTTAAAAATTTAGAGATATTGCCAGAATCATACAAACCAGAATTTTTAAAAGACTCATTGATTCATTTCTTGCAAAATTACTTTAGTAAAGGAAAGCATTGTGATGCTCTGTTAATTTTGGATGATGTTTGTCATAAAAAAATAATTGAAACATTTGATTTTGAATGTAAAACATTAGTGATTACAGCCGATCTTGATGTTGTGTGGGAAAAAAGACCAGTTGTCATAGAAGTAAATTATTATTTTTATCACATTAACTATACATGATATTTACATGTTCTAATAAATTAATTATTATAGAGACTATTTCTTTACAGATGAATGATGGATTTACTGAGGCAGAAACTTTAGGTTTATTCGCTAAAGTATTAGAAACGGAAGTAGAAAAACTTCCTTTAGAAGCAAAACGAATTCATGAAGAATGTAAAGGGATGCCTTTGTTAATAGCAATGTTTTCTGCACAATTTGAGGAATTTAAACATGATATGAAATTGCATTCAAATAGATGGAAATATTACTTGAATTCATTAAGGAATAAGGATGAAAAGAATCAGTAATATTTCAAATATATAAGTGTATATATTTAAACAATTTTATGTCGAAAATTACTAATAACGTTTCATGTGCTTTTCAGAGTAATTAAAAGATTCTGGGAAAAGCAAGAAGCCATTTTTAATATGTGCATAAATCAGTTACCTTCTGATATGAAAAAACGTTATGAAGAATTAGTTATTTTTAGAGAGGATGTTAATATAACGCCAAAGGTAATAAATCCAGACTTACATTACTTTAGATTTGTAAAATATATTCAAGTATGTATGTATATGTTATTATTTTATTTTATACTTTCTATAGACAATAGAAATTCTGTGGGAAGGATGTCCATTTCAAGTTGAAGAAATGATGCTTGATTTATGTCATAAATCACTTGCAGCAAAACAGTGGAATAGTGAATTACGTAGTTACGTTTACGGTGTTCATGATTTATTACTTTGCCACCTTCGAAAAAAATTTTCACAAGATGAATTAATTCAAATGCACAGATCATTGATTGAAAAATATCGTAAATATTGTAATGGTAACTTTTCGAAATTACCAGCAGATAATTACATTTATTCATATATTGGATATCATTTGGAGCAAGCACAATTGTATGACGAATTCCCGAATATATATTTAGATTTTGATTTCATTCAGGAAGCGATAATTCATAGTGGCTTAAATAATTTATTGATCGACTTAAACAATTATAGAAAATATATTACCAAAAATAATGATCAAGTATATGAAATGCATTTTGCAGACTTGGAAAAATTTTTAGAAGAACAATCAAGCATTATAGCAGAACATAGACGTAAAAAGTGTTTGGATATAGTACAAATTGCTATGAATCATCCTTATGAGGGATATGTTAAAGATACTGCTATTCAACTTGCAAAAAAAAGATCTAAATACCTGTATATATTTCATGACAAAAAATTAAGGCAGATGGATATGCCATCGAGCGAAGAAATGACAACAGAAGTCCACGCGTTATGTTTTACACATGACCCACATCAAATTTTAATTGGAAACGGAACTGGTGAAATATTTTTATGGGATAGCTTTTACAAAAGACAAAGAGTTTTTACTGGACATGACAAGAGTTGTTGTATAAGAAAGATTATTATATCTAACGAAGGAGATTGTTTTTTATCGCTAGATGATCATGGTATAGTAAAGCTTTTCAAACTTTTTATTGATGAAAATTATGAAGAAAAAAATATTCCATTAAGTCCAAGACAAAAGCAATCCTTTTGGAGTGGAATTTTCACAAGTAAAATTCCACATGATGATAGTTCAGTAATGTTTTCTGTTCCTGATGAAATTATACTGGACATGACATTTGCACATGATAGTAGTTCTGTTGCAGCTTGTACAAACAAAGGAACAATAAGGGTATAAATAAAATTAAATTAGATTTTATTAATATAGTTTTATTAAATAAAATAAGATTTTCTTTTTTAGATTTGGGATCGCTATGGACATATATTATCAAATCATAGTCATACTTCTCAAATGTAAGTTTATCGAAATTAATTGTTTATAGACCGTGATATTTGAAGAAATAAAAATATTGATTTTTGCAGTGATCTTAAAAATATAGTATTTACAATGGGAAGCAATCTGCTGCACATAATGGATGAAAAAAATGGTGTTCTAGTATCATATTGTAAATGTGGCAAACAATATAAATATATCACTCAATACAATCCAGACCTACAAGAAAGGAACATTATCTTCTTCCGCAGTGTGCCAGGACAAAATAATTCTTTATTCATTGTCACTGAAGAAAAAGCTGTATATGTAAAATGGTTTAGATCAAGTAATAACCACATGCATAGTTATAGTAAGCAAATAAGAGCAAGCATTGAAAATAGAAAAACTAATTATGTTTGTGCCAGTTTAACTAATGATGGTCAGTACATAGTTTTGGCTGATTCTGGTGGTTTTATAAATATATGGAATATAGACGTTGGGGTTCAACCAATAGCTACTTATAAGAGTCGTGTCTCATCCTTGGATACATATTGGCTAAAAGAAGAAGGACATCATATTATTTGTGGCAGTGAAAACCGATTACTGCATAAATGGGAACTTCCAGTGGAAGGAACTTGTATTTTAATAAAAAAACCTTTATTTGATGCAAAAGTACAGAATTGCGATGGTGTTTCAGACATCATTGTTACTGAAACGTTTTCAAATACTATTGTTGCATTAGTCAATGATAAGAAAATAGCAGAAACTGAACCAATTAATGGAAAAATAAACAATTTAATTCTTCACGGAGAGAAAATAATTTATGTCACTGATAATGGCACTGTCAACATATTTGATTTAGAAAGCAAAAAAAATATATGTGTGTTGAACTTCCCATCTAATGTGGAGTTAGTCAAAATTTTAGACGTAAAAAGAGATCACAGTAATAATATACTCGTCTGTAGAGGAACAGATAATAACTTAAAAGTACAGAAAATTTTATTATATTAACAAAACATTCCTAAACATTATCGAATTATTTTAATTTATATATAATGTTTTACAGGTGTGGGAAAATATAAAACTAACATATTTAATTGAAAATGCAGGTTATGTTATTGCAATTCATAAGCTCGATCAAGAGAGCGTAGCAACAGTAACGAAGAATGGTATAATTACAATTTGGAATATTAATAGTACAAATTGGTTACGAGTAGACAGAGTAACAGTGGGAAATTCAGACATAATTAGTAGTTATAGTTGTTTAAGTTACCACAGAAGCTTCCTAGCTGTATTAAATGAAAATGGGGATGTCGTTTTATATAAATTACAAAAGAATACAATATCACTGCCAGCATATATCAAAATAATGGAATATTTTAGAAAAAGATATACCCAAAAATTATCGTGTTGTGAAATTTCTCAAGATGAAAAATATTTAGCTATAGGTTTCGAAGACGGAGATATTTCTGTAAGTTTTATTATAAACTATTTCAATAGTTATATATATGATGTAGATGAAATTATAATGTTACTAAATTCCAGGTAATTGATATATCAAACTTGGATGAAATAAATAAATTGTGCTTTCATATGAGTTCCGTTACTCAATTATGTTGGGCCCCGTCTGCAATTAAGGTTCCAATTTTGCTCTCTGTCAGTTCAGATGAGTTAGTTTGGTGGAACGTTACTTTACGTTTCTATCCACATAAACAGAAATGGCCATCAGTACGAATGAACCGCAGCATCAGTACTCCTTCCGTTAGTATAGAAGAAAGTATTTCTCCATATATGACTCCTAGTCAAAGCATAGACTCGTGTATCCGCAATATACAAAATCAAGTAGAAAGTGAGATAGATAAAGTAATTAAGTTCTGGAAATCCAAAGAGAGTAAATATCCCAAGAAGCCAACACTACTAGCTGTTGTTGAGTTACCTTCAAATTTTTTCGCTAAAATATGCATATCTGCCGATTTTACAAAATTTGTCACAGTTGATATGTATGGTTCTATTAGTACTTTTACATTATGTGGGTATGATTAATGATAATTTTTTTAATTCAATATTTTTATAATATTAAGTTTACCTAAAAAGAATTTTTAATTAATCTCTTAAACTATATATAAATATAAAAATATTACTTGCATGCAAGTAAAAATTCGATATAAGCTCAATGCATTGAGTTTTATGAACGAGTGATATAACTTATATTGAAGTAAGGCATATTTACAGGAAATAAGAATTTGAACTGGTAATTATAATTGCGATTACGTTAAATTTTTATTACGGTATACAATTTAATTGACTAATGCAAATAAGGAAACATGTATACTGTTTAACCATGTTTCCTAATATCACCACTGCCATTTGCATTTATCAGAAAATTATAAGATCTCTTATTTACAATTATACAAACAATAATTCCAATAGTTTTGACTGCACTTTTTATACTGAATTTATAGAAAATACAATTTTGTGGATAGATTTTTAAAATATCCATATACTTCGAGCCATACACTGTAGACTCAAATTGCTATACATAGTTTATAAATTTTATTTTGCTTATTCTTTGTACAAATAGTCCTTTTTGTATACTTTAGACAATTATACTCTAGTTTAATTCGTAAAATACACACATAGCATAATTTATACATAAGTATTATTACAATATGAAATATATTTTAATAATTGTGTTAAAAAAAAGCAAAAAAAATTGTTCATTTTCAATGGTAAAATAGTTTATTGTAAATACTATAAAAATACGTAAAATTTATATTACATAATGAAATTAAGACAATTATAATTGATTAATTTGTGTTTTGATATTCATTTTGTATTATTTCAAAAAAATTGTGTTTAAATGAACCACAAAGTATTAAATTTATCAATTAATGATTCAGCTTTTTAACTTCTGTTAAATACTATATTATAACATTCGTAATATCTTAAAAAGATAAAATTTTATTTAAGCAATATAATTGTTGATGTTTCATAAATTATGGAGAACTTCCATGTCTCTGACTTTCGCTTGTTCATTGAACAATAAAGTCAATACTATTTTCTACTGTTATTTTATACTGTGTGCCTTAAATGAACAATATTTATATTTAAAAATATAAAACTTTAACGTGTTTGTATATTTATATCATTTATATTATTAACGATCAATGTATGGCACAATTCCGTTTGGATAATGCATTTATTTTATACATTTATACATAAATATATCTATACGCAATTTATTTTATATACCAAATATAAAAATTGACAAAGTCAGAAATAATCTCAACAATCATAAGTTATTGTATATCAAATAGTGCGTAATGTTATACTTAATTTTACGCAATGCATTTTGTCTTTCGATTTTTTTGGTTTCAACAAACTTGTTTGAGTCTACTTAATTGTAATATTTCAATAAAACAAATATAAAAATATAAAACAAATCTAAAAATATAACAAGCAGAATAATATTTAGTGCATGTAATGAAAAACGTGTAGTTATGTATACTCTGAAATGTTTACGAATTTTGTGATATGAGAATACATGTGAGCAATGTATTCATATTAACTGTGGTGCAATTTAAACAATGCCATTGCTCACGAGTGGACCAATTATAATACTGGTCGGTCAAAACAGAGTTTGCATTCTCTCGTTGAGCTCAATTTTTAATAGCATTTATTGTACTATATGCGATATTTTGTATTTTATTCGTCGTTGTAAAAATTCTATACATTTTAATATAAATAAAACTTTGTAAATACACATTTTTGTTTCGTTCCCACGAGATCAATGTACCGAGCAGAATTATGTTCGCAGATTACATTGCCGCATTGCGATACTTAATCCTACACGTGGTTAATATATTAATAGAGTAGAATGACCATGTAACATACAACTTGGCACTCTATACTACGTTCAATTTTGTACTCTAGGCCAATGTCAGTACTATATTAAAGCACATGTATTGATAATACATTATCGATAAAGTTAGAAAATTAATTTGATTATCACGTGTTGGAAGTTTCCACTATTAAAAATTTATGAACGGAATAATTCATATTTGCGAAACGCTAAAAGTATAAGAGTCACCTTCTATTGAGATGATAGATGTTTGAATAGTATTTCAATAATTCCTAGTAATTGCAGATGATTCAACAGAAAAGTAGTGTCATATCAATTGTAATCTTATCTTCAAATTCTGACAATGTAACGATTTAATCGATATTGTACTGCAAATATAATCATCTAAGGAATTTAATCTAATAATAAAATGATAAAATAATTTTGGATGAAAACGTAACGTAAGTATTGTATCTTATATCAATATATATCTTATATTTTGATAGATCTAATCAAAAATAGCTAAAAACGAATTTTTATAATGCATTTTGTTATTTTTAAGTATCGATTTGAAGCGATAATTCTTGAAGGATACTTCCATGTGCCAGTAATCCCGTATTAGTTGTTATATCGCCATTGTGCGTTAACATTAATCGATCATAAGAGCATGTATGTATGTTTAATTAAGTCTTAAATAATCTACAACATGTGTGTGCGAATATAAACTACGCACACAAAGCATACCGTAGCGCTTCGAGTCCCGGAAATCAGTGCGGGGCAAGGAAAGCGCGGAGAGCCTATGCCGCTAGCGCGGCTACCAATCGTTGCACTTCACGATATTCAGTCTCAGTGTGCGGATCGTCTTCCCGTTTCTAGTTTCCACGTTCATTCGTTTTGTAGCAGATCTTTAAATAATACTTTCTTTGATTTTGTTCTGACTTTTGTCAATTGTCAACGTGTGAACGTGTGAAACACAATGTCTCTCGTCTACAAAAATACGATGAACGCGATTGGCAAGTACGTGCCCCAGAAGTTCCAGCCACTGTGGAATCACCCAGCTGGTTAGTAAGTTATCAATGATTATTTTCTGTTCTCTGAAATACATAGTAGCACGTGCGTGCAACATATGCGCCCGTGTCACTGTGCTCCACTCTCGGTTCGGTCGGATGGGCAAAAAAATGTGCTGTCACGTCTTACAAACTTCAGGCATTCTTTTTCTTTTTTGTCGTCTTATGTACCTACAAGCTCGGATAAACTCGTTATTAACGTTTGTGTACACCAGAATGTCACTTCGTAACACTGCTTTACATATTAAAAATTTTGTTACTTTTACGCATTTTTCCATTATTACCATTTTATAGCGAATTTTCATTATCAATATCAATGAGTTCAAGGCATTAATGATAACGCATTAATATTTATCGAATGAATATCTCAGTTTTTTTTTTTTTTTTTTTTTTGTAAGTGGAGTTTGAAACTTAATGGAACGCGATTGAGTAACAAACGCATTGTGAAATATAATTTTATAATCACGTGAATTCGAAAGCATCACACAATTGTTATCAAATTATTCATATTTCGTTTATTTTTTTTGATATTAGATATTAGTACATATATACCGCTACTATTAAAAGAAATACGTAACAGCAGTATCGACCTATTTTCCCCTTTCAGGTCCGCAGACTATATTCTTCTGGGCACCAGCTTTTAAATGGGTCAGTAATATCTTTGAAGTTTTAACGTCTGGTTGTATTATTAAACGTTACACTTTGAAATAGAAACATCGTGTCAGATGAAGAGAATCGTCAATTGTATTTTCAGAATTTCAGCCATCTAAATATACATAATCTTACTAGTTTAAATTTTAATGTAAAACAGACGGTCGTTCACTGCGCTGTGAACAGTGTTACAGAAATATTTCTCGTCATTGTATTCGCATGGACTTGATCCAAATGCGATCTAGTAACGTTTGTTACGAAAGAAACGATGAATATTCTTAATGTCATCATTGTCACCTTTAATAAATTCACTTTACACACACACACACACACACACATGTACGTATTATCGATTTCACTTCAACGGAATGTGAAATCGATAATACGTCATCAATATCTATTTTTCTAACAAAATGTTAAAGAGCAGCGGAAGAAAATTATTTCGCGTAAATGTCATATGTTTGTTACTCTCTAAGTGAAAAATGAAAATTTTACATAACGTTTTCCCGAGGTTGAAATTTTGTGCACGCGCGCGCGCGTGCATATCTTATTACAAATCGCGGTCAATTTTGCTGAATATAGGTCAACCTTTTAAAGCAAACTATCTGAATATGATCTACATCGCTGATTCTATTCGTCATTCTATTTGCAACATGTTTTTCGTTTTCCTTTATCATTTTTCTTTACAATATATGTATTTTAACATTGTATGTATTTAAATAAAAATTTTGCAAATTACAGGGACTTGTAATAGCTGGCCTCGGTGATCTGCAGAGGCCAGCAAGTCAAATCTCCGTTAGCCAATCGTCTGCATTAGGCCTTACTGGTTTGATATGGACAAGATACGCCTTAGCGATCACACCAAAAAACTGGAGCCTCTTTAGCGTAAATCTGTTCGTCGCTATAACAGCATTATACCAAGTTAGTCGGGGACTAATGTAAGTTACGACTCTAGTCTATGCTATGCTAAAATCTTTTAGTCATCTCTCGTGGCGTGATGTATTATTTATAGCGGATACGTTGACACGAAGTACAAATACGTATACGTGCATTCACTCGATGAATATGAAAGTAATGTAATTATATCATGAATAATAAAACGATGTAATTGTATTTTAAATATGATCGTATTAAATTATAAGGGTTTATCGTATTTTGAATATCTAATTGATATGTATTTTTTGCAGGTACCAAGGTGAACCAGCAACTGAAACAACAGCGAAAAAAAAATAGCGACTACGTCCAGATAATATACATTCCTAGGGATCCAAATATTTAAATGTATATATTTAGCATACTAGATTCATTTTAGCGACTTGAGCGGAATATATCCGACTTAGGCAATTTCTAACAAAATTAAAATACAAATTAGGTAGTTAGGTAAATGACGCGAATTCATAATCAGCATTAAGTATGGACTTCCATGAAAATTCCATAGTAAAATTATAAATACTACAAATTCAAGTAAAAACATATTGCATGTATAAAATAGAGATACATCACATGAACAATCATAAAATTTCGAAGATCAACAATCATGAATTAGAAGTCAAAAATATGAATATCAATACAGAGAAATTAGATTACATAAACTAATATAAAACACTAGTCGTAAATCACCAAAATTCAAAATTTAGGACATTAACACTAACAGAAAGTAAACAATATCAATTATTATATTATGTTCAAATACTAAGAAAGGGATACATATTAAGCTGTGATATCGAAGGTAAGGTGCTGTTTGTATCTTTATTCCATTTAGTAACGCATAAATAAATTCTAAATCCTAAACTAAGTACAAATGTACCAACAGAATACATAAGATATGTATAATTTCAATGTGCAGTACAACATTGAAAGGCATTCTATATTGTAAACTAAAACACCAATCGATAGTACACCAATATACTAGATTTAGGTGAACTTGCTTATGTACATACCTACCTCTAAGTAATAATGTACAATTTACTGATCTTAACGATTCGCAACACTGATGCTGAAGCACTCGAGGAAGTAGAAAATGTACAAATTGTATACCAAGTTCGATAACATTACAATTGCCTTGTATAATAAAGTAATATATTTTTCTAAAGACTGTCCCTAATATTATCCCTTTTCACATTTAATATTGTTGGAAAAGTAAATTGTTTCATATATTTTCGTTGCTGGTTTTTGTTTAAATTATGGCGCCAAAAGTCGCTAGGGAATCTATAGAGAAAATTAGAGCAATGTCCCTAGAATATCTAGGAATATTTCGATCTGCACTGTTTATAGAGCAATGTATAAATCATAATTTAGATAGCGTACGTTATAGTTGCGCTGCGTACTGCAGGGATCGATTGCAACGTTAGTTTTACGTTGTTCCGTTTGTGGCGCCACGATCTATTTAACTATACTGCGCAATGTGTAGTGCGCCGTTATAAGTTGAATACGTGCAGTTCGTGGTTGCGCGACCGTTGAAACGGACGGCCGAGGTTTCGTCGTTACTCATTCTCGCAAACGGTTCAGTGTGTTTTGTGTTTTCGGACCGAGTGGTCGTAGGACAGCAGATACAGATATCACATCTATATTTGCTGGCTGATCATTCGATCATGTTCACTGGTTTAACTAATCAGATGTCCACATGGATAGGGAAAAAAGGAGAAGATGCCGGTGCTGAATTGCCGGCCGAAGAAAAGTTTGTTACAAGTGTTGAAGGAGATGATCTTAATAGAAAAGACAGGTAACTTATTAACTTATAAAATTGTCTTGCTATCAAATATCATAACTATTTTTGAGATGAATGTGGCCACACTGGTAAGCTAATCTCTTATATAGTGTCTGTATTTCTCTTTTTCTGTTGAATTGCGTATTACGTTGTAATCATCATATGGATACGTCTTACTTGTTATACAAATGCAGTTGTCATCGATGGAAGATGCGTAACTCATGATCAAACATCAATCGTACACGCTCTTTCTACGCATCTGTACGACGTGTTGGAAATTTTGCATTCGATTTTGAATGCAGTTTTTAGACTGGATCGATAACATTCGCTTACATAAAATACGACATTTCGTGAATCGAAGTTGAGGTTAACATACATGGTCGTCATACATTTTTACAATGTGGAGTTGGAAACGAAACTGGGACGAGGCAGAGGCTGCAGTTTCTTTTCGTTCTCTCAACTCCCAAGATGAAAATGCATGCGACGTTTGCATACTTGATTTTCGGATAAAGTCAAATATGAAATACATCTTTTAACTTTGTAGACTACATAACCTTTCATTTCGACGTATCGAAATTGTCAACGATTGGCACGATTTGTAGGCAAAGATTCATCTTAATTCGTGGAATTGCACTAAACGACAGTGGCATTAATGACAGATGGAAATCAATATCATCGCTATTGGTTAAAATTGCGTCGTTCCATTTTCATGTAAAATTACATCAGTTACAAATTCAATGTCTCGAACAAATATACAGATTTCAAAAGCATTAATGATTTTTTTCAACTTCAAGAGAACTCCCTTTCCTTCCTTTAATCATGTAACTCAGACTGGAATTTCTCATGAAATACAAATGCAATACATCTCGTATTTCTATTTTACGGGGTGTTTAAATATTACATCATGGCTCTCTCACTTCCGTAGATTTCTCCAACGTTTCTAAGCTGGATATTTCGTATTTTCCACTCAGAGACGTTCGCTAGTTTGCATATCGGATGATTTTATGCGTAAAACACGATGTTTATACGGTCATTTCCTAAAAGTTATGTCAGGAGAAATGGATTTCGGAAATAGAATTCCATGGGCCGATAAAACCATTGCAAGACATAAACTGTCATAAATAAATTTTGCAACACGTTCTCGCGTACGTATTAGCTGTCATGCTAATGCTTAATAAACTAGCCGAAACAGCTGATCCATAATATTCTACAGACGAGAACTTGCGTGTAGAATTCGAATAATTGTACATGAAATATATTCGTGAATATATACGATTTCCTCGTTCGTAACCTATATTTTCTTGTCTGAACGTCTCGGATTGGAATTTTGCACTTTCGTTGTTGGTAGTACCGAAATTGCGCCGAAATCAATGCGCCATTCGATGGATTTTTCCTACTAACCTAGAAAAACGTAATCTCCAGCTGATGTAATCTGCGCTGCATTCTCTCTCGTTTCTCCCTCTCGTTTCTCTCTTTACTCAATAATTTTCATCGTTATTAAACGTACCATTCACGAAAATATGCATCGCGATACCTTTTTTTTTTTTTCACCTTTAAATATGAAAGCGTATTCTCAACAGCGCGAAATGGTTCTCCTCGCGTGGCCGAGTGACTCACAATGAAAAGTGAATTCCCTTTCTTCGTCCCGCGACGAGAATTCAATTTTTGTTTTTTTCATCTCTGCGCTGGCTCGTGCACCTCCTCTGCGTCACGAGAGTCGAGTGATTTCCTCTCTTTCTTTCTTTTTTTTTTTTTTCTCTCCCCACCCGAAAGAACCACCGTGGCACCCGTTAATTTAATTCCCTTTATTCGACCGCGTCCGAGTATTTTCATTTATACGACCGGGCGAGAGCGAAAAAAAACGACGACGTCGGTAAAACCCGTTGCTTCCCGAGCTAAATACGTTATCGAGCTGCTTTCTAATTCCAGTGTACGCTTCATCTCCTACAAAAAAAGAAGAGGAAAAGAAATAAAAAGAAACAGAAAAATAAAGAAAGAGAGAAAGACGAAGAAGAGCGGAAGGAAAAAGGTAAAAGAAAGTAGGATAAATGGTCGTCGTGGTAGTTTTCGCCGGCTGTTTTAACCGAAACAATTTTCCAAGAGTACGTCGATCTCTGGGTAAACGTGACGCGTAATTTAGCGATTTTTTTCTCCAACGTTCGTGATGCTCGTACAAGCGTCAGTCGAAGACGCGGAAGAATTTTTCGTCGTGAGAAGAATTTTCTGCCTGCCGGGAAAAATCGTTCTCCTCGCCCGAGGGATGGGCAGAAGACACAATGGTTTTTTTTCAAGAGGTCTGTGTCAATGTAAATGCTACGTATCGTACATACGTGAGATAGAACGATGAAGTAGCCGAGAGTTCGAGCGAGCTACATTCGCGTACGAAGAAACAGCGATGTTTCCATAAAGGGGTGGGAGGCAGTCGTAATCTTTTATATAGGTTGCAATCGATACCACCGCAGCCGCCCTCCCACAGAAACTGTTAAATTTCGTCAAACGACAACGAGACCTTGTAATTCTTCCTCTTTCTCTCATTTTTTGCAACGTTCACGGACATTATTTTTCTATCTTCCTCTTCATCTTCCTTTCTAACGGCGAGGACGAAGAGACGAGAAATTTTCCCAATTTTTCGGCGATCGTTGTAAATTTCGATGGTTAAGCGATCGTTAAACGTCATTTTGCGCACGTAATGTAATCGTACGGCGTTAGCGACGGATAATTCAAAATAATTGCAACAGTTTGATGCGAATTTAATATCGGTTAACGTTATAATACGGAGCGCTGATGTACGTTCTCGCAATATCGATGCACTTTGGGCGTGCCGGGAGTTTTCATGTTTAACAAAATATATTCGGCAAACAAACTCCCGATGAACGTTTTGTAAGAGGACGGAGGATTTAACAGGTAACATAGTAACCAGTATCGCGAGGCTTAGAATCACAGTCGTGTAAGTAACTGCTATTTTCTTACAAAAAAAAAAAAAAAAAAAAAACAGTATTGTGTATTTGCCGTCGTAAAAAAGATTCAGTATAGCTTTCTTTCATGAAAATCGTATTGCCAGAGACTATCAATTATAAAACTGAAACGACGGGATACGATTATATAAGCTCAGATTCTTAAACATTCTAAATCTGTGTCGATCTGATTTTTTAGTCTGTCAGTTGTACCAAATAAAGGAGAAAAAATGATGATTTATTTCTGCTCTAACGCGCGGAGTTACGCTGGAAAGTCGCGCTGCGTTTCACAGTTCCGATAGAGCAAGACAAATTTCCAAGAAGAGTATCGTATCAGAAAATCGATGCCAGGCATTGTTCTCGATAGAAATTAATTAGAGCAAAGGAATGATGCACGCCTTTGAGAAAAGGTCGTTCATTGTTCAAACCACTTGCCGAGTGGCAAGGGAGAGAGCGGCACGAGCCAGATGGAATTTTTTCACGGCAGCTCGCCGGGGATACTTCGTTTTCATTGGCCACAATTATAACGTCGGTAAATCAGTTATAAAAGCTATGGTACTTTTAAACGAGTTACAGTTACGACGGCGTCAGCCCGCTGCTGTTGCCCGACTCGATCATACTGACCTGTTTTCCTCGCTGTGACATATTTGCAGCGGGCAGGCAGCAATCGAAAGCACGCATTCGAGTAGCACTCTCTTTCGTACGGCATCCATCGAACAATTGGTTAACCATGGCGATGGGGTAAACGGTAAAAATGAGAGAGAAGCACCGATGGTGTTTATACAGAAGTGGACGAAAGTGTTCGATGAAAAATCGCCTCTACGTTTGAAACTGTTGCGACTTTGTAAAAAAAAAAAAAAAAAAAAAAAAAGGAAAAGGAAAAGCAATCGTACAACAATTCAGTTGGCCTTGTTTCAAAGTACAAAACCTCCAGTTTGACAGAGCTCTATCTCAAAGACGTGGTAAGTAGAAAAACAAGATCTTTCGCTCTCGGAAACTGTAAAAATTCAAATGCTTCTGGAAACGTTAAAAAATTGTTTTCACGACCAAATCTACCATCGATCTTGCTCGAAACTTGCTGTACGATTTTTTCTCGCCGAACATCGAACATTAAGGTTAAATGGCAAAACAGTGATCTCGAGATTCTTGAGTTTTCGTGATCGTTCGACTCTGATGTTCCGAACAAAATGGCGGAATAATATCGTGCAGCAAAATTTCGAGAAGACCTCGATCTTCGAGATTATGGTCAGAGCCAACCACGAAAAGCATTCTCTCACTGATTTTTCGAGGTGTTTCAATTTTCACGATTTTCGTCGACCTGCTGCACGATGTAAAAAAACATCTTTGAGAAAGAGAAACTCTGGATTGATGCAGCGGAAAAGCGTTTTCACGCTTGGAAATTAGACCAGCTGGATCGACGTACGATCTCGTACGGTTCAGTTTCGAACAGTTCGAAGCAACGGTGATGTCGAGCGTGCGAAATACTCTTGTCCAGCTCTGTTCTACTCTCAGGCGAGTTAACAAGTTTCGTGCCGCCTGTTCCCGCCGTAATTATTATATACGGCAATTGGCAAGCATTGTTCGACGTTAACGTCCCTTGATAATCCACTTTTGCAACTTTCTCGCTCGAGAAAATTTATTATCGGAAGCACGCGGTTCAAACTATAACGTACGATGATAACAGGCACATTGAAAAGGGGGAAAAGATAGACTCGTTCATTAATCGTTCTATGATCAAACTAAAGTAAGAAGAAAGGAACGAATGATATCTCTCGTCTGACTCGCGAGTCAACGACGATCCTTCGTTTCTTTCGTACTCGTATCGCTCTCCTCTCATTCGATGTCGAGCGTGTCAAAATTAAGCAGTCGCTTTCTTTCTGCGCAGCCCCAGCCGAAGCATGCTGGGTGGCGTGAAATCACAGATGACTGGCTGGTTCAGCAGTGTTCCCAGATTGAGCCGCAACGCTAATCATGGAAATGATGCGGACTCGCAGCAGGCAGCAGGCAAAACAGTGAATGGGGCTCAAGTGGCTCAAAATACCGAGAACACTGCCGAACCGATAAAGGACGATGACGCCAGCAGGTGAGAGTTCTCTTCTTCTTCTTTTTTTTTCTTTGCAAATTTTACAAGCATCTCTCTGCCCAACTATGGAAAACGCTCTAGCGACCGCAAAATGCGTAATGCAAGTTTCTTCGCAGCTCTCGAAAATAGTCGCGAGTCACCACGCTGTGCATTCTGTATCTCTTGTCTCGATAAGTTTGCAAATGAAAACGATACAAAAAAANAAAAAAAAAAAAAAAAAAAAAAAAAGAAAGAAAGAAAGAAACACGCAGCTAGAAGAGATAGAAGTGTGTTCACTGCTTTTTAAATAAGATAGCGAGCGTAGTGAGCTATGTATGCCATTTTGCTACTGTGTTTAACATACTGACACTGTCTTTCTCCATAGTTGGGCAAACATGACAGAAGCAGGTTCGACCGTGCCACGGTGAGGTTTTGTTTTGGGAACGACCGCTGTTCGCTGTTCCAAGTCGAATTTCACCTATTCTATTGCAACCGTATTCTGTAGGCTATTTCCAACAGCTTGCAAAGAGATATTGTTTCATCTTTCATACAGTATACAGACAAGTACAACCTTCATTTTTTTATATGCCACGTATGTTTTCTACCTTTTCTGCACAATTTCAATATCTCCGAAATTTAATGCATAAACTTAAGCTTCACTAGAACTGTGTTTTAGTTACTTTTCTTCTTTTTTTTTTTTTTTTTTTTAATGAGGAGGAGGAGGATCCCCGAATGGAAATGAAAAGTGGATAAATATAGAGAGAAAGTCGAGTAAGTCCCAGCTAAGCTAGGGGGACTACAGAGGATCAATTAGTCAAACATATCTAATATAGGCACATTGGGGATGGCTTCCATTGTTACTAGAACGCTTTTCTTCCTTTTTTTTTTTTTTCTTCGTTTTTCTAATTCCTCGATTTAACGACCGATCGATAGGAGGGTATGCGTAGTTACCGAAAGCAGAGGTAGCTTGTACATATACTCATGTTCAAGAAGCCACTGAAATTCACTTGACACGTTAATGCACATTTGTAATTTTATTTTTCTCTTTCGTTCTATATCCGACCCGCAATTTTACGTTGTTTTGAAACTCGCTTTTTTTACAAACTCGCTGTTAACATAGTGTAAACTGCACGACAAAGTGCAACCTGTTGTCATACATTGTTCACGCGTTTCTCCCGTTGTTATTTACAGCGCAACTGGCGGTGCTGACAGCGGCCCAGCAAGTTTAGAAGGTTCCCCCTCCGAGGATAAGGAAGGACAGCAGGCGTTCAGCGGTGGTGAGTTTTTCGAATTTTTCGCCATTTTCTTTTTTTTCTGCTGCTCGCCTCGCGAACGTAGTACGACAGGTCAATCTCAGAAAAGAAAAAAAAGACGAGAATAAAACGGAGGAAGTGGGAATCATTCGGAAAGGACAAAATTTCGAATCCTGAAAGTTTGAACTAATCTTTCGTCTCGAAAATCTTGAAAATCTCGAACATCTCGACGAAGATTTAACATTTTATACGAACGTGTAGTCTCTTTTATTTTTGAAACGCTCGTGAAGTAACGAGTGTTCGTCGTCGTCGCGACGACACGAAGACTTCCAAGACCTCGGTATTCGATACGGCGTGAAGTATTTTACAGCCCATTGATAAATAAAACGATAAGATCGCGTTCGCAGAATGTCGTAATAGCTCGTGATGTTTCCGGCATTTTGATGTTCCTCATCATTTGCCCTTTGCATTTCGCGCTAGTCAATCATTTTTAAAGTCGACGAATGACGGGAGGAGGGACAGAAAAAGAAATCTGCGAGGGGAAAACTTTTAATTAGACCCGAGTTCTCGCGAAGATGAAAGAGTTGGAAGGATACTCGTTGCCAGTGATACTCGTTGCAAAAGCTAGCTGGCAAATCTTTAGAATAAGAGGGTGCAAGGGAAAATATTCGATTTGCCTTTTCGACGAAAGAGGGTCTCGAAAACGCGGATAAACTTTGATTCAGCCAGCCTCTTTCGTTTCTTCCCCGATAAGTTCGGCTCTCAGTGCTCGGTTTGATCGAGTCCCGACGACTGTGTATCGGTAGCAGACAGATTGACAAATTAATTCGTCGCACGCTCCAAGTGCTTTTGCACGAAATGAAGAGGAGAAGGATAGAGTAGAATCTAAGATCGCGTTACTCGCACGAGAAGCCTGCTGTTGCTATTTTACACCCTGATAAAACAGCAATAGACAGCAGATCCCCTGTTATAGAATTTTAGATGCTTAAAAGCCGTAGACGAGATGGAAGAGTAATGTTGTTAAAATAGCCTTAACGCGATTCCTCTCGCGCGCGAGCGTTAAAGTTAATAGAGTTTAAGGCCCGGAAGGGGCAGAAAATTTAAAAAAATATTCGAATTCAACAAGCCCTTGGTTATTTCACGTCGCATCGGAATTTAACCTCTTGCGCTAGAGTGACGTGCCACGCACGTCGAGAACTTTTCGTTCCAAAATTGTAATATTTTCTCAGTTTCTAAGTATATTCAAGTATAACCCAAGCAAAACAAGTAATAAATTTATTACTTCTCAATAATTACTATCCGGTGATATATCATACCGACGAGTTCAAAAAGAAAGCGACTAGTTATCGTATATACGGTTCGGTTACTCGTTATGGTCCGCAATTAATTGCCAGTGGTTAACCTCTTGCGCTGGAATGACGTGCCACGCACGTCGAGAACTTTTCGTTCCAAAATTGTAATATTTTCTCAGTTTTAAGTATACTTGAGTAAAACAAAATAGGCAAAATAAATGATAAATTTATTACTTCTCAATAATTACTATCCGGTGATATATCATACCGACAAGTTCAAAAAGAAAGCGACTAGTTATCGTATATACGGTTCGGTCACTCGTTATGGTCCGCAATTAGTTGCCAACGCAAGTGGTTAATCTCTTTTTCGTTTCAAAATTGCAATATTCTCGCAGTTTTAAGTATACTTAAGTAAAACAAAATAGACAAAGCAAATAATGAATTTACTACTTCTCGATTTTTTTCTATCCAGTGATATATCGCACCGACGAGATTCAAAAAGAAAGCGACGAATTCTTGTATACGGTTCGGTGTCGCTCGTTATGGTCCGCAAGTGGTTAATCTCTTTTTCGTTTCAAAATTGCAATATTCTCGCAGTTTTAAGTATACTTAAGTAAAACAAAATAGGCAAAGCAAATAATGAATTTACTACTTCTCGATCATTTCTATCCAGTGATATATCGCATCGACGAGATTCAAAAAGAAAGCGACGAATTCTTGTATACGGTTCGGTGTCGCTCGTTATGGTCCGCAATCAGTTGCCCAGATTAAATCCTTCGAAGCAAATCGGTCGAAAGCAGTATATGTATATAACCCCCCCCCCCCCCCCGACAGAAGTTTCGCAGACAGAAAGCGAGGAAAAAAAAAGAAGCTTCATTTACGCTCGCGTGTGATACGCGTACTCGCTCCTAACTGAGAGATTGGAATTTTTTCAAACGTGTTTCACACGGTGGTAAGAAGATCTCGTAAAAAATTCAAGGGGGGTAAACTCTAAGCGCTCTGGCCTTTCGATCACTTGGCTCGCCACCGTTCAGCTCGCCTGATTAATAATGCAGTGGCCCATCGAATGAAGTTTAACGATCTGAAACCGTAGACCGAGCCACCGCACCCGATGCACCGAGCTATTAAATTAGCTTTCATAATCGGCGCCGGGTTTTCTTCGTTTTTCCTTGCCCGCTCCCGTCTTTTCCCTCCTCCATTTCTCCCTGGTTTTTTTCTCTCTCTTTCACTCTCCTCGCCGCGCGTTTCAGAGAAATTCTTTTCTCCCTCCCAATGTGACGGCGCTGAATTTTTTTCGCACGCGGATCTCGTCGATAACATTTACAGGGCTATGTACTTCTTCTTCTCATTCTCTCCGTTTCCATTTCCATCGTATCTCGCTCTGTCCCGTGCAGGTTTCATCGCTTTTCTCGGGAAAAGAGAAAGAGAGAGAGAGAGAGAGAGAGAGACAGAGAGAGAGAGAGAGAGAGAGAGAGAGAGAGATAAAAAAAGGAGAAACCACTTGTACGAGCGCGAGAGAAGTCGACGAGATGTCGTAACGTTGATTGCCGTTGAGAGGAGAGCAACGATGAATTGAAACTGAACTGACACTTTCAACGTCAAACACAGCGTGAAACACAGCGACGCGACGACGTACGCACAGTCTGTCGCCGATTTGCATAATATCTATCCGCGCGATCGTGGTATATATATATATATATATATATATATATTTTTTTCTTTTTTTTTCATTCTGTCGGAAACAAAAGAGGCAGCAACGAGCATTGTCTCTCTGAATTTACGATTCCGCGTCATTGGTTCTCTTTTTTCTCGCGCTTTTATAATTAACCCGTTTATCCCGCGATTTCGTGCGTCGCGTTCCGATCACACGTTATACGCCAATTCTTCGTCAGTCTGACTTTATATATTATAATATTATAATATTAAAACATTACAATATTTAAAGAGAAACAGAAAACAATTGTACAAAGGTACGAATCTAATATCAGTAGTAGATGTATAAAAGTTTTCGTTTTTATTCTCTGCGAGAGATCGTCACACAGTCGTTCATTTTTCGAATCGAAAAAAAGCAAATGAGCGTATGAAAGTGGGCGTGAAGCAACGAACAAAAGAAAAGAACAGAAAAAGGAAAAAGATCAAACTTCATAGTCGAGGAAATTCACAGTTATCCATCGACAAAAGAAGAGAAAAAAAGTCGCGCGTAATTGTCATTACTGTTATTTGCACGCGCGGAATGGCTCCTGTTTGTTACTTTCGCGATGGAAATATTGCGTCGCTGATGAAAATCTCCGCTCGCGATGCACCTCCGTGCCGTTGTTATCGCGTATGAAAGCATTGTCACGCGGTCAACAACGTTTCCATGTGTTGCTCTGTATTAAATATGGCACTTTAAAATCCGGCATCGTGTCCGAGCATCGAATTGGCCGTTGACACGTTTCTTTAAATGCCGGTTGATGATTTCCTGTTACGTCTGTCCTACATTCTGCTCTATATTCCACATTCTGTTGTATGTATGTACGAAATTCTCTCTCTCTAGATATATATATATATATATATATATATATATATATATATATATACTCTCAGGAATGAATTTGATACGCAAAATCGAGAAAAATAAACGTTACGCGTTTATATTCGATTATTTCGAACGAGCAATCTTCTTTATTTATTCGTCGATTAATTTCTGAAACGCGCACGTCCAAACACCGATATCTTTCCTCTACGTTTTATTATAACAGCGGGATTGAGTTCATTCGAGATAATGTATCTGTTATTTATTTCGTTATCAACAGCAGTTACTTGCCACTTTCGTTTTCCAATAATCGTTTTCGACTTGTAATACGTCAGCAGATAATTAACCGGTGTTATTAATAGTACACACACACACCGTATGTCGGACATTCTCGCGAAAATGAAAATATTCGCGTGCATTCTCCAGTCACATACGTTTCTGTTTCTTATTTTCGATTCCGTGAATTCACTCCTGAAGTTGTAGCATGTTTCGGAAACACCCTGTATACATCCCATTATAAAATACAACTCTGTGTCGTTTGGACCCTTTGTCTCGTAACGAGGTTGCGCAGACACACTGAAAATGTGAGATTTTCTCGAGAACCATATCGACCGTGCTCCCCTGCCTCTTGAATTTATTCGTATCTCTCTGCTCGATTCTATATCGAGGGCGAACACGGAGCTGTGAAACTCGAAAATTACACGTACGTCCTTTGTCTATGCACTGATCGGTCTTTCTCTTCTTTCTCGATTGCATGCAATTGTGAGTTGGAATGTAATTGTTTCTCTCGTTGACGTGTAACGCGTTCAAATAAATTGACACAAGAACGAGGCAATAATTCTCGTATTATGCGCAGCATGTCCAACGTTTCTTCGCTGTTCTCAGCTGGCAAAAAAGTAGGCGAAAAATGAAAATAATCTTTGCAATTTTGAAGTTGAACCCTTGAAAGCAGAGACTGAAAAAAGAAATATTTTGCGGTTTAGGTATATTATACCCAGAGACTGAAACCGAAATATTGTGAGGTTTAGGTATTATACCGGTATTTGCTCCCATATTGTCGTAATATAAGCGCTATTTGGAGAATCGGTTTTAATACCGGTATAAGACGATCATACTGGTATTTTCATACGTATTTTATCGGTATTTGATGTTCAAAACGGTAAAAATCCCGAAATATATACCGGTACGGTACCGCTTTACTGACGAAAACACATTTT